TTTTTTTTTCAATTTTGTGACAATTTTGTGACGTCGGATAAAACTTAACAATTCATTGGAAAACTTAACAACTCATTGGCAAAATGAATTTATTTGTACTAAATGGAACAACGAATTGAAGGCCATTTCGATATTTTCACAACATTGGAAGATTTTTCGATTGATTGAACGAGAACAATTCAATGGAAATTGAGGTGCTATGGAAATACGGAATGGGCAAATGATAGAAAAATGAATGAATATTGAAGTGATTAATGTTGTCCTTTTTTGACTCGTTTTAATGTTTTACTATCAAAATCGCTTGCAATCGCTATTTCAACCGCTGTATTTGATATACTTATTGAATGTTGACGAGTTTTTGAAGATGATGATTTTCCGCTGGCCACATTAGCTTTTGAATTTTTCCTCAGAATCGGTTTCATTGGCACACTGATTTTTTCGGCCGTCAACGATCGATGAACTTCTAACTAAAAATCAAACATTCCTCATGCATATGTCAGTTCGTCACGAGCTTTAATTGGGAATAGATTTGTTATTTCAGCTTGTTTCATTAATAATCAGTGACAGCAGACATACTCGCAGCATCGATCACCCACCAATTCGTTTGCTGATAAACGCATTGTTGTGGACAACGAATGAGAATAAAGAAATAACGCACTTGTTTTTTAGCAATTTCAACAACGTCTTCGGGTAAATCTTCGCCCTCTTCTTCGTCAGTATCAACTGCTGATTCTATCGATAAGCATACCTGACAAATTCAGTTCAGCAAACAGAATGTAATCAGTCTAACAAAGAGAAATATAAAAGCGATTTGATCATAAACATTCCACTTTTCGTTCATCATCCTCGAAAATACTAACAATACGACTTAAAATAAGCATCGTCACTAACAGTTGCATGTTGCTCGATCCCCTCCATGATCCAATAATTAAGCATTGTCTTACTCGCCACTGCATGCCCATCCACTTCACTGCAAACGAATTCTCATTTCGATGTTATCATCTTAAAATCGATTATTCTAAATTATAAAATATGAACAGACACAAAGTTAAGTGACTTAATTAAATATTCACCAACTTTCTGAAGTCATTCTCGATTCAGTGAACTTATGAAATGTTTGCGACCGAAAGGCATTAAAATGAAACTTTAATGAGACGTGAATATTTTTGGATTCGTTGGCAGTTCGAACTTCATAAAGGTTAAAAAACTGAAAATTGCATCACCGTATAATATCGCCTGAACGTAGGTGTATCGCCGATAGACTGTCTGGATTTGTGCGAACAATTTGCAATCGCTCTTTAGCATCGTAAGTAACTTGTAACCCCAATAAATCGTCCTCCTCATCCAGATCCTCTTCACACTTATTCAACACGAAACGCACCTGAATTTATTGTCTTCCAATACAACAACGAATCTTCACTGAATGGAATTCAACATCAATCAACAAGTATCACTGATCGTGAGTTGATGGCAACAAATCAAATGCCATTACGTTCAAATGATGAATTAATTTGACTCAAGCCACTTGACTGCTGGCTCTGCCTTTTCAATTCTAACTAATTTATGCTCGATCCTTTCATTTTATTCAATCTGAATCAATCTCCTAACACTATATGCATAATCTGTATTGCGATTGATTGTGCAATCCAAATATGATTATTGCCTCATTTCATGTATCTTTCTGAACAAATCAACCATGATCATTTACCGAGTAAAGCTGAATTGCACGCATTACTTTGGGATCATTCTTTATCATTAACGTTTCTACAGTGTTACCTCTGCTATCACAAACCGAAAATGCTCTTCGCTGAAATGTGACATTCGCCTTCTGAAAACAACATGACCGCCGGATCGTCATATGATGAATCACTCGAGGTTGTTCATTTGTACTGTATAGTTCAAGTTGCTCGACTGGAAGTCGATTTCAGTGAAACAGTATAATTTGTCATAAAGAGATTTAGGAGGTTATCAACTCCTGTAATTATTCGAATGAACAAACTGAATCTGTCGTCAAGACGTGTGTTTGCGTAATAGATCAAGTGACGGCACTACCGATTAAGAGCTACACCGCGCGCGGACATGCTCTCAAATCCTTTCGAACAGAGGACTCATTTTCTTGGTTAGTCGTAGTCCTACGCGAGGTTCAGGCACGGCCTCGATATGAATCCAGCCTAATCCTAAGCAGCAGCCTCAGTCTCACCGGTACCTGTCTGCGCGCGGTATAGTCCCTAAACAGCAGATGTGCCGAAGTGACAATAATTGTAACATAATTAGTATCAGTACCGTAGTTGGTTTCCTCATGGCTGCTACGAGTTCGTCCCATTTATTTATCCTTATCCCATCAATTGCGATTATTTTATCGCCAACAGCTACTTTGTAAGCCGATTGACATCTCGGTTCAATATAAATGGCCTGAAATATCAATTGTAAATTAAGACGATGTTTATCAAAATTCGTGTAATAGTAACAAATACTGTTGCGCTTGTCAATCACTTACATACAATCCGATGAAACTGAAGTGATCTTAACAAAATTGTAAATTCAGTCAATTCAGGCTGTATATTTCCAAAAAATACAGTGGATGAAAACTTCCTGAACCGTTTGTTATGTTTCACCATAATATCTTTCTAATTCATTTTTTTCAGCGATATGTAACGAAAGGTTGGTTAAAATTTTCCGCAAGTGTATACTTCAGTTTATAAACACTTTTGATCAAATTTATGTGTCACAATGCTCTCAAGTAATCAGTACGGAAGGTTTTATAATAAGATTTTGATCGCTTCTTGATAGTATTTGGCTTGCTGAACTACGCTCATCAACAATTTTAGTTATTATTGAGTTCCGACACAATGTGCTCTATGAGTTATGTTACTTGAAGAGATGCTCTTCAACTCCAACAGAACAAAGCAGTGCATGTGAAAGAGTATTGAAGGAATCGTTTCATTTGCAATGAATTCGGAGTCGGAACCGTTAGCGGCTAGGTTTCAAAAGAGTACTCGGTAGGAAATTTTTTTAGGATTATATATGTTGATAAAAAGACAATCCCTCAATGCACTTTTCCTGAATTTATTAAAAGAAAACGCTCTGATTCCATGTAAACATTAGAATTTCACTTTTTTATCGTGCTCGGAACACTAGGAAACTGTTGATATTCCAAGCTATCAACAAAAACTCGCAGTAAGAAGAAATGAATTAATTCATTTTTTCTAATGATCACTGTGAAAAAATTTGCTTCATTGTACGACCGATTCGGGTTACGATTAAGCTACTGGAGGGTTTTATGATAGGATTTTGATAGCAGGCCAATCCTCCGCTGTATTTCGAATCAGGCTTTATGAAATGAATATTAACTGTATTAATGGTAAATGATATGAAAGTAACCTTGAGTGATGATTTCTTAATGCGCACTCTGAATGGTTTGCTTAATGTTACCGTGTCCTGAAAAACATTCGCTTATTATCAGCGCTAATGCAGTCGTCTTCAACAGAATGATTATCATACCTCTCCCGCGATCCTGAAGACGTTACGACTAGTCGCAAAGTTTATTGAATTCGAAACGATATTAAAGTGTTGTTAATTGTGCAAATTATTTAATGGCAACGGGCATTCGTTATTGCTTGGTTGTGGAATGCTTGATGCACCGACTGCTATGGATCTGCTCGGTTACATTAACTGTTTATTACTGATACCGAAAGACTACCGATTAACTACTGTTGGTTGTACCAAACATTGCATGAATGTTCAATCGATCAATCGGAATGTATTTTCAGGCTCCTTTTGAGTCCCTCGCCTTAGAAATCATTGAGCAATCTGGAAGAGTAGCCCAAAACCTCTGTGCTCGCCAAATCAATAATCCAAATTTGAATTTCATGAAGACATGATTCCCAACGCTATTAACGTTGGGTGCGTGGAAAGAAGAAAGCCAAGAAAGGAAGAATGTGATATTGGTGATATTGGTGACAACAGAGAGGCATAAACTCGTAATGAGTTGGATTTGCCGACAATGACTAAATTAAAGCTATCGATAATAGCGTTTGGAATCATCTGTCTTCAGGATATTTAAAGTTACGTTTAGACGGTGAGTGGTTGGTTTATCGATCGCTCCATGCGGTCGGCAAAATGTTCGTCATTGTTACGATTGTTTAATGGATTATTGTTGGTATTCGGCTGAATTTAGTTATGCAAATTATCTATGGCAACANCTCTGAACGATCGCTGGACAAGTGTTCAATCGATCCATCGGAATGTATTTTCGGGCTCCTTCTGAGTCGCTCCCCCCAGAAATCATTGGGCAGTATGGCAGAGTAGCCGAAAATATTTGTACTTGCCAGATCAATAATCCAAGTTCGAACTTCATGAAGACAGATGATTCCAAACGCTACTATCGGTAGTTGCGCAGAAAGAAGAATGCCAAGGAAGTAAGAATGTGATATTGGTAATAACAAAGAGGCAGAAACTCGTAATGAGTTCGATTTGCTGATTAAATGAATAAATAAATTAAAGCGTTGAAAGGATATGATACCATCATGATAATAGCATCAGCAGCAACGAGTTCACCTTTGTCATCAACTTTATTTTCCGATTTATTTGACTCACCCTCAACCATACCTACTTCATTAAAAAACGATACAATGTGACTGGCCATCTGCTCTCAACTCTTTTATACTTTCTTCCATCACACCAATATGTTAATTTCTTTTTGCATGCCCTCAATAGCAAGTCTACTTTCAATAATTTCCATATTGCGGCGCATTCATCGCGGTGGAAGGAAGCTTATGCGAAAAACATAAGAAAAGTGGCCGTCAAGAGTAGAAAAATACTGATAGTGAGAAAGAATTGTTCTTTGGACATGTCCGAGCGTTCCAAGCAATACTTTATAGCGCCATTCACGACTGTCGGGCAACTACTTGTGCAAGGCGCCGAGTCTCTGCGTTAGCGCAACCGAACAGAACCATGTGTCCAGAGAGAATACGTCGAATAGTTTATGACCTCAATAATTTGTGACAACTCTTTCTTGGTATTGTTCTACTCTTGACGGCCACTTTTCCTGTGTATTTTTCACAAGCGTTCCCTCCCACTGCGATGAATATGCCGAGAAATCGTAGTATGACCAATACTATTACTCCTCTATTCGAATAATCACTTCGATGTGACTATGCACTGATGACGTTTGCGATGAAAAGGTCACCAATTTTAGCAGTAAAGTTTGCTAATATTTATGCTTTGAATTACATTGTATTTTGGTAGTAATAGTGATAAATCACATATTATATTTTGCTCGATTCTGTGCTCAGTGAATCTGGCCTACAGTTCAGAATTTCAGTAGGTAGTTCAACTAATTGTTCAGACGGATTTTACTGATATCGTCTTTTTTGCAGTTGTTGCATTTTGTTGGTATGTAATATTTTGTGTTCTCGTATTTTTGCTGTTGTTCTTGTATTTCTGCTGATGTGTAATGTAAATAGTCTGATGTATGAATAATAAATCTGCCCGACACTTCAATATATTTATTGCATTTTTGGAAACTATTGAATCTCGGCTGCAAGACGATATATTTAATATTTTGGCTACATCTTTCCTCCTAATTTTTCTCTTGAGACAGGGAGAATTTCAATTACTTCAACTGAACATCACCACTGATCACGCCAACTAACATGACGTTCGTAACTTCAAATTCAATAAATTTCTCTAGGATACTCATAGTCAGTCTCGGCTACAAGATGCTGTATATCTTTGTTATGAATTTTCCTTGTAGAGTGGGTAACAGTTTCAATTATTTTTTGAAATTTTGTAATTCAAGCCAAATAGAAAATCTCGAGTACACCTTTATTGCTGTCCATTTTATATATCTTATTTTATTCTGCTGAATGTGCGCTAGAAAATAATATAAAAATGGTCTAGATTCATTTCCCTTCAATGTGTAAGAAATTCACATTTCTGAACACTTTCATCAAATAACAATGCCAGTTCCGTCACTTGGCAAACCGTCCCTCCGTTCGTACTTGGCGAACTGTCCGTACACCGCATCGAGAATTAAGAGATTACTCTCCAACTCGTAGTAATCTGCTGGCGAAGATATAGGCCAAAAACGATCTACATTATGGTTCTACGCATGCCTGAACAGGCGCACGCGGTCGCGTAGCGAATTACGACGATGGTAAAATTGAGCACAGCACAGTGGTGGGCAATAGTGCGCTGTTGGCTATTTGGCTAGTGGCCATAGCAGATTTGAAGTGGTCGATCAGGAATAGGACGGGAATATGTGCAGGGTGACGGACTGTCGCCTCAAAAGTTGAGGCAGGTAGTTTTCGACGAATTATTCGAAAATCAACATCAAATAGCAGTGGAAAGTGCGAGGAGCGACTGAAGTGGATAGAGTAGTGGATACCGGAACAGAACATTGCACGGCCAATGCCAAGTGGCCGGCCCGTTGAAGGGACTCCAATTCTCTGCAAAGTGCGAAATTTTTAGATGAAATGCTCGTTTAGTTTTCGAAAGCACCACGGAATCGTCATTGTGGAAAATATCGATGATGCGGAGATTAAGGAAGAGAAGTGCCGTAAGGGAACTTTGCACGGCCAACAACGCCTTTCCAATGGACTAATTGGCAGTGGCCGAGCAAAGCTCAGTTCACATGAACAATGCTTTTCTTGGTGATCGTTCATTTCAAGTTATAGTCTCGCGGGTACATTTCCTGAAAATTTCTCAATGCACTATTGCTCATGCAATGTTCTACTGCTCGCAGCCGCAATAAGATGAGTGCTCAAATTTGCACAGCTCAAAAACTGAGTCAGTTCATGTTGCGAGTTTTCGCCTTTGTGTCGAAGAAAACATACTTCTCTCCCCACTGAGACCTCGTGCATAGCTTCAGGTCAGGCACGGCATTGAAATACGTCAAACTCGTGTGCTTCATCGATAAATTAATTCGCCATCTACGAGTTCTCTTTCTCTGCGCTCTGCCTGACCGCGTCGCGTCAAAAGTGCATTCTGGCTTGTGCTACCAAAGCGAGCGCTATCGACATATTAACGGCTTACCGCGCATATTGCGCTGAAGCATTCAATCAGGCTTATTAGTAGTGGTAATGATACTTGTTAATTTGTTATTTTCACGTGCAAGAGGACGTTAGTTCAGTACCCGGCAATATGTGATATGATGCTGGTGAATTGAAGAACGGGTAATTTTGTATTTTAGTTTGGTAAAATCAAAACGGCATTTTGTTCACATTCGCAGTTGAATGCGTTACTTAGAGCACAATAAGGATTGTTCTCACGAACGAAGTGCCGTTGTGATTTTACCAACCTGAAATACAGCATTACTGAAGAACGTAATAAGTTATAGTCGGAAAAACTGAATGTTTCGGTGTCGTTAGGAACTGATTTTTGTTGATCATTGAAGTTGTCAAAATTTACATGCGTCAGTAGTTGCAGTGCGAAAATTTGTAGCCCCTAGGTAGTGTTGGATGTTTTCATGTAGTCTGGCGATGCGTAACTTGGTTAAGTTCAATATCTATTTGGCATAGTCGTCGTGATATGATCGCAGTAACTTTCGTTTTGATCAAATGATATTTTAGGGCTATCTCGCTTACAAAGACGTACAATGACAGACGTTGGGATGGAAACGTCGGTAGTAGAAGTATGTTTCCAAAAATTTTAAGAGAGGTCGGAAACATGAGTTTCCATAGACAGTTCCTTCTTGTTCAATTTCGGTTGTTTTAAAAATGAGAAAAGGATGTATTTGATCCACATTTTTCAAAGGAATGGATTGGGTGGAAGCGATGCTGCGGAAGCCCATGTTCATGACGAATTTATTTTTGAACACAAATTACGAGTTTATCAGTTACAGGAAACTGAAAAGCAGGTAGTGGAAAGTAACGATGAAGCACCAAAGGATACGAATACCGAAGGAGTAGAAGAAGAACAAATGGAAACAGCTAACGGAACCGAAGCTGCGACAGTTAAGGTCATTCACTAGAATCATTCATGGTTAACTTGTGCTGTTTCCCTTCTGTTGCATTCATCGGATTCAAGTGCTTAGGATAATTAGGTCGCATTGTTTTCAGTCAGATTAGTAGAGTTACTGATTCTGAAAGGTATGAACATAAGACTTGTGGTTGTTTTAGACGGAAGAAACGAGTGAATATGCAGAAAATGAAGCATACAAGAAGTTGCGTTCACAAAGTGTTGAGCAGAAAGTGGCCGAAGCATTGGTGAATCTGTACGAAACAAGGGATATGAAGGCGGATGAATTGGACGAGAGAGCGGTCGAGATGTTACGTGGATTTCCAATTGATCAGGAACTTTTTATTGTTGAACAGGTATTATAGTTTTGATTTCATGAAGCGTCTTCACCTTATAGGGATCACTTTAATGAAATCCATCATTTAGTACCATTTTATCAGTGCAAATACATTACAATCAAGTTGCTCTTCGTTATCCATCACCATATCATTACTTCTATATCACTATATCACTGGTTTTCTCCCTTCAGTTTAGAAGCATTTTATTCAATCCGGTTTTATAACGTCGTTGCGACTGAATGAAAACGTATATCTTCAGATTAAAAAGTCCGGCTTGGTTGGAGTGCAAAACAAGGCTCAATTCTTGATGTCGGTTATGCGGAATTTCCGAGACAAAGTGCGGCAACTTGGTCCACAGGCAGCGATGCAGCAGCCATTAATCTATGGACCTGATGGTCCCAAGATCAAAGAGATACTCGAGCGAACTGGCTACCGTCTGGAAGTGACCATCGGACAGCGTAAATACGGCGGTCCACCACCCGACTGGGATGGACCGGCCACTGGACCAGTTGGGGCAGGATACGAGGTTAGTGCGATTCAACTCACCTATCTTTTCTTTTCACTTGAAAATGTTTTGAATTCGCCAGAATTGTGGTCAAAAACTAATTTGTATTTGTGTGTGAATTTCTGATGTGATTGTTTCTGAACTATGGCGTTATTTCACTGCATGTGAACACTCATCATTTATACAAGCAGTCCAGAACGTGAAGGTAATTGATTCACAGATTTACGTCGGTAAGATTCCGAAAGAAGTTTATGAGGATACTCTAATTCCTCTCTTCGAAGAGATTGGCAAAATGTGGGATCTTCGGCTTATGATGGATCCCCTGTTGGGAAGAAATCGTGGTTATGCGTTTGTCACTTATTGCGACAAAGAAGCAGCACTGGAAGCAGCTAAAAAAGTTAGTTTGTCTTGGCGTCTCAATAGGTCTTATTTGAATCTGTTTGTGAATCACTTCGTATTGATCAACTATATGTTTCAGGCTTTAGTCTTGTTTTTGCTTCATACCATACTTCAGCATGGGTCAGATTGTCGTCCTATTTTTAACAAAAACGGTCTTGATGAAGTCATTACGCATGTCACGGATAGTTTTCGTGACCGTAAAGAAGAAAATTTGGTCGTGTCGTATTTTGACTCTGAATCTACAATCCAATTGATGAGAATATATTCTCTCTTTTCGCACCCTTCTCGTACTAGTCCCATTCTGTATGAATGCAAGAGTAAAGTGCTCGTCTTGACAGACCTGATAAATAGCTGGAGAATAGCTTTCGTATCAAATATCTGTAGACTGCGCTATGAACAAAATGATAGGTCACATAATTTCCTCTTATAGTTGTGATCAAGTTGTAGTTTGGATAAACATCTTCGACTCGTTTTAATCATTATTTGATAAGATTATTCTCAGCTCATTTTAATGACAGGTCACGTAATTTCTCCACATCAGCATGTTTTCATCCGAACGAGTATTTCGCTGTTGTAATGACTGAGCAGAATACGGTGAGCTTGGCTGAGGCATTAGTATTTGACTGATGATGAAAATAACGAGCTGAGATCACTGATTTGTGATAATCGGTTCGCTGCTTGTCGTAGTTTTGTCATAATCGTGCACTGACTACATGAAGTTTCACTATGGAGATATCATATTCTCTAGAGTCAGTGTCACTTCAATTGGAGTATTTTTGTAGGTCATGAACTAGGCTATACGCGAACTTAAGCAGATATTATCAGATAGCTAGGTTTGGAGACTGCAGTTATCTAGATGTACGGCATAATTGTGATCAAATGATCCGTTATCATTAGGAGCAATAAACAAGCTGTGTAGTGAGTTATGTTCTTGAAACGATTGGTCTGTTTTTGTCAGATGAAAGTTCGTTAACTCCAGCGTTTTCACAACTCTAATATTCACTGCTTAGGGTGCCTTTAGAAGAGATGAAATCTTCGCTCATATAGCGATTGTGTTCAAATGGAACACTGAAATTGAATCTGTTTAGTGATGTTGCTGAATGACAAGTTTTGATGTGATTTGGTTGATTGCATAGATGTTTGGGTGAGGATCAAGGAGGATGGATGCAGCAATATGATGACATTTGCTTTTTTGCAATGTTTGAGTGGGATTTCTGAATGGGATTTCGAAGAGTTGTTCTAGTGGGGTTGGTCATTCGGCGATGCCGTTTCATGCGTTGCAGCGATGTTTTTTGTTACAATCAATCGATGGGTTATCATTTTTTTCGAAATTTTTTTTACCGGTTGGTTATTAAGTTTGGATTTTATTCAAGAGCACTTTACGAACGAAACGTTTTCGAGACGGTTTTCAACGTATCAAAAGTATTCTTCTTTTCTTCATTTCTAGTATGACGGCTACGAAATTGTGCCTGGTAAAAAACTGAAAGTGAACGTCAGCGTTGCCAACACTCGACTCTTTATTGGAAATATTCCCAAATCGAAGTCCAAAGAGGAAATTCTTGCCGAATTTAAGGAACATGCAGGTAAATTTTAGAGCTGCTGCAGAATTCAATCTGATAAATTCAATAATTCAATAATGCAAAGGTTTCAAATTGTTGATCTCAAATTGGGGTTGAAAAGAATTGCTGTGGATGATAAGTGGTGACTATGCATTAGCATATCGGTTGCACTCGTAGTTGGTGCTAGTTGTAAACCATCAGATGTAGTTATAACATCTAGTACATAGTGTCAGCATGTAAAATGAGTTAATACGAGCCATTATGAAACTAGACGTGAATGAGATTGCTATGTAAACTTACATCAGTTATTGCTTGATCGCGTCGTTGAACGACACAGTACGCTAGCAGTGATGAGTATTATGAAGTGAGTCCATTAGACTAGGATTATGTTGTAGTCTCTTACTGAGCAGATTTTAAAGGTGAGTATTGCAATTGACTGTGCATGTGATATGAACAGCTTGTGTGGTGCAAGTATGTAGCGAAAATATTCTGTTGGTTCAGTCAACTTCTAGATAATGGTTCACATTTCTCAGAAGTTAACTGAACAGAATATTGCTGTTTTTTCCTTACTGTTTTCATAGCCATAACATTTCAACATTGGATGTGAAAGCGAGTTATAATCACTGACCGTAAATAGTTGTGATGGTTTTATGAGTTGTTGTTTGCTGAGATAGTAGTAGCTGATGAGAAGGAATCGTTGTGGTAGTTATGACCATTTGAAGTTTTGTTATCGGTAGTCCATCCGCATACACCCAGCTGACGGTTCAACGGTAAGTTTTGTCTTTGTAAAGTTCATTACTCGACCCATCAAAAATTGACTCATTCATTCACACTGTGATGATTTAAGAAAAAGGAAGCAATGAATTCAGTCTGTAATTGAATTGAGTATTAAAATCTAAAGAAACTGAGCCCGTAAAAGAGAAACGAAATGTTTCAGAGGGAGTGGTCGACTGCATAGTCTACTCCAGTCCAGATGGAGGTGAAAACCGTAAGAATCGTGGTTTCTGTTTTTTGGATTTCAACGACCACAAGACTGCGTCTGATGTTAAACGAAAACTTCATAATGGAAAGGTAAGTGAACAAAGATTCGTTCTGCACAGTTGTTCATGCGAATGCTCGATTTGTCAAGCTTATTGTTCTTTCTGATAGAACTCATGCTGCAGTCATAATTGACCGACTTGTTTCAAAGATAATTTCTTTGTCTTCATATCTGCAAAAAATAGCGATATTTATACGAGTCGTTATTGTCGCTATTCACCACTTATGCCGCAGTTGTTATGGTTAGAATGCTTGGTTGATATTAAGCCGATGATAACTAGACTGTATGAATTGTTGTCGAGTAGATTCGTCCGTGGAATTCCGAGCTGGTTGTTGATTGGGCTGAACAACAAGACGAACCTGATGAAGAGACGATGTCCAAGGTCAGAGTTCTTTATGTGCGGAATCTGAAAGAAGCCGTCACCGAGGATCAACTCCGGGAAATGTTCTCCGCACACGGCGAATTGGAACGTGCGAAAAAGATTCGAGATTATGCTTTTATTCATTTCAAGGAACGAGAAGCTGCTGTAAAGGTGAGTCACTGCTGTCAAATTTGTTATAAGCCTTTCTCTTTGCTCAACATACATCTGTGGCGATCGAATGCTATGAATAGGTTGTTTTTTTCCATGCATATGTACATATTACGATCCAATTTCGTATCATATTCCAGGCGATGCAAGCGTTAAACGGAACAGTATTGGAGGGTATTGAAATAGATATATCGCTTGCAAAGCCTCAGTCTGATAAAAAGAAGGCGAATCGAGGTGGTCCGCGAGGTCAACGTGGCTTCGGTGAGTCGGCAGGAGGCGGTTGGGGTGGACGTACTGGTGGTATGGTGTCACGTCGCGGTGGAGCGATGGGCACTGGTTATGGTGCGCGAAGTCCGTACGGCGGAATGACTGATTACGGCGGATATGGAGGATATGACCCTTACGGAGGTAAATCGCAGCCTGATTCAATTGCTCAAAGCTATGGTATGGGTAATTCATGGAAACTTTGTCTTTTGGGTTATTCATATTGATTTTGTTGAAAGTTTGGTCAATTTCAGCTTGGTTTTCGATTATACGATCGTTTTGATCATTCCGGTTGTTTGCGTTCTTTCAGTTTGCAAATGGTTTTTCAAGCCTTTGCTATAATTGATCATTCTAATGAGATATACGTTAAGAATACGCTGGTTACGATGAGTACTATGGCTATGGGGCACCGATGGGCGGCGGATACGGAGGATATGCTGGTTACGATTCATATGGTTACGGTGGTGGACCTGATCCGTACGCATACGGCGCTGGATACAGTATGGGTCGGAACACTGCTGCTGTTGGTGGTGGTGCTGGGGGAGGAATGCGAGGAGGGATGGTGAGGGCATTCGATGTTTGATAGTTCACAGTTTTTGATTATTACTAATATTTTAATGATCAAAATCAGTGAAACTTTCATAACTTCTTTATCATTCCATGGTTGGTAATGAAGTTTGAAGTGTTGGTATCACTGACAGGAAGGGTTGTAAGTTGTTGATTGTTGCAGTGGCGTATCGCTTTTCAGGGATATTCATCAAGAGCAAGTCCAGGACGTGGCAAAGCATCATTGGCGCGTGGTGCTGGCGGGATCGCACGAGGATCGGCCGGTCGAAGTGCAAAGCGACGAGGGGACGGAGTTGGTGGACCGGCGTCGAAACGCGAATTTGGAAACGACGACTTTTCGGCTGATGTTAATATGGCTTCGTTCTAATTCATTTATTTGAGACCATTAAATGTCATCTCATTACCATCGTCGTGTTTATATACACGGACTATTTGAACGATTGAAGATGTATGTCGTATGTCGTGGTGAATTAACGTTTCCGGGGATATGCCCTCGTCATTCTCCTCACAATTTTTATTGACAATGAGATGCAGTAAGAATTGACTCTATTTTTTGAGTACGCTCAGTTTATATCATTCAGCGAATTATATTTTTATCGCAATTTAGTTGCTGATCCCGGAGTATATTTCCGCAATGACAATCCTCCGTTGTATCTTACTTAATTATATCATCATCCAGCAAATCCCATATGTCTCATTTGCCACAACATTCATCATTGAATCGTTAGTATCTTGAAGTTATTTCTATATGATTTGTAAGATCTCCTTTTCATGTATCATCTTAATGATGTCGTTTCATTCACATATATGCAACATCAAACATCTAATCGAATAATGCATTACCTCCTATAATGCTGCTAAACGATACCTTCTCAGTTATAGTAGTTGAGTATGAGGTAATTAGTTACCAGTTATAGTTTCAAATACCGCACTCATTTGTTGTCGAACAAGGACTTCGTATTCGGTTAACGGTTTCTGAGTTATCATCGTGACCACTGTTGTTATCGTCATTATTATTACCGTTGTCATAATTCGCACATTGATGTCGCTGTTGTTATTGAGTGTGTAAGGTTATTTGTTTACGTCCTGTTGTCTCAGTTTACTGAGTTCATGAAGCTTTTTCTTTTCGAAACTGATCATGTGCTTATTTACAGTCAGTTATAGTTAGCCATCCCAGTTACTAATTTGTTGCTGACATTGAGTGTTAACGCTGATATTGTTCCTTTGTAGTGCTCACATATAATCCTTTGCAGGCCTATCATATTGATAGAAGCACACCATTAATGTTAACAGTTTATCATTTGTGTCTCACATTCCCGTGTGCTCCCCGCAGGGTTCGGAATTACGAAGTTATCGAGGGACACACTGAATAGGGTTTGTTGCACAAAGGATCTTAATTCACGTCTACTTCATTGTTGTTGTGTTTATACCATCGTTCGTTTCATCTGCATTGTTTTTTTTTTCATCTTTCAATAATATTTATTCTGTTGAACAAACGCTTTTGTTCTGCATTTGATTTGCAAATGTTCCGTGAGCACAATTCGGCATAATAGTTTCACAATTGGGAGTAGAATATGGTTTAGATACTGAAACTAGACAGATATTAAGGACAAGTTCATTTCAGTTGAAACATCAACACTTAAACTTTTTATGACAATATCTTGACTTTTGTCTGTGAATAACTTCTATGGATTAATGTTGCTTATATCTGAGATGAAAGGAAATCAAACATGTTGCTCGACAAGCTTTCTTTCGAAATTCGCGAACGCTTCAAATTGATTAAAGCTGTGTTCTACCAGAAATAGAACCGTTAACAAAAGGAATGATCATGAACATTGTAACAAAAAATGGAATAAGATTGACACACCAACAACGGAATCAAAGAATACAATTTTATAAAACCTGAAATAAGCTCTGAGAAACGTTACAGCGCAGGTTATTGAGTCGCTCATTTACGTTCTCAGTTTTGTACAGAAGAAGGAAAATGCACAGAAAGCTCGTTTACTCTCGGCGCTTGTTGGTGGGTTCGATCTGAACAACTTTTCTATATTCGCAGCTGTTTCCTCCGTTTCTTCGTACGAATGCAACCCATCGTAGGCAATAGAATTTTTCATTAGCATGGCCAATGAGAGTCAATTAACATTTGTTTTTAACTGATAAGCGTCCATCCAGAGTCACGCTAATTTTCTCACCGTTCCTTAGAGAATCCGTTATATCTTGATTAACAATTCTCGCCGTTCCGATATATGTTACAATACTCCATTAACAAATCCTTGACAACATGTAGAGAATGGAATAGTGGAGTTTGTTGGATTAAAAAACTTTCTGAAGAATTTCCCCTATTGCAAGAGTGTTGGAATTCAAACCATCAACGGAGCAAATCTCAACAATCACTTCGTTCGGCGGATCAGTGGTTATTGCTGGATCAAGTTTGAGAAATTTAGTATTCGATGGGTCTCATCTGGCCTCGAATGCATTTGTTTCGTTGTCGAATACTATATCGTGCTTCATCTTCAAATGCACAAGTAGCCTTTCGTAGACAATCGTTTTCATTTTTAATTTCACCNACTGCTTTCATCGTATTTTTTAATACATTCGGAGGTAGTTGCACTATTTGAGAATATATTTATGAGTAAATACGAAATTGATGGATGCACTGCAACAAATAGAAGACAAAGCAACGGTTATGAAGTAAGAGTGATGATATTATGAAATTCTTACTCATTGTTTTGGGAAAAGGATAGGCGACGTGGCGGCGTTATACACTGCTTCATTGTTTCACTAGTGCTTTGGTGTTAAACAACACGTATTACTACATATGAATGAGCTGGAAATAATCAATGTGTGAGAATGCCTTGTTTCATCAAAACCCAAAATCCCGGAATTTTTCAGAACCTGAAATCAGGATTCAAAAGTCGGAAATCCCGGAATCCCGTGCAAACCGCAGTCATCATGGTCAAGAAGGACATTTCTTAAAGTTTATCTGACTTAGATGCAGAGCAAAAGTGAAATTTGTCGCTGAATTGATCAACAATTGTGAAGGATAAAAGGAGGGAACAGAATTATGATTGTTGGAATTATCACATGATAATTCGTGAATAGACTCTAATAACCAAATCATCCTCTGATCCACAAATGAAAGATTCATCGAAAAAAGTAAACGTCACGAGACAATTGAGTGTTCGTCGTGTTCAGATCAACTGTTAGCATTCAGCTATTCTCAAAACAATTCCTTGTGCACTTCAGTATTGTTCTTCACTTACAATTAGAGGTGTGCGACACACGTTTGATGGTTTTAGGCGTAAGTGGAATGCATGGATGCGTGCAGAATGCATTACATTCATATCACTTGAATCATTTACTATTGTGCAATTGAAATGCTCATCAAAAAAGATATCGTGGACGTTATCAGCACATTTCGATTACTGATAAAGATTATCAGGTTCTCACTCTTAATATCAGTCTTTTCAGTGCATAAATAAACAACTCACTTCGCAGTCAGTGGTTGTCATATGACAACGTGCCTCAATACAACTCACTTTCATTCGCTTAATTTCTAACGACAATTACAATTTGGTTGTTGTGAGTAAAGTGGTGCATGGACATTTCTCTTCGCATTCTTCACTTTTGAGTATATTTTTTTCAATTTGTCACTTACGGATTTAGCGGTATCTTTGTCAGTATCTGATTTGCTGCTAAACTAACATATACAAGTCCACAATCCCAGTTGTACTGAGGACTGCATTTGTGGTAGTTTCGAAGGGGATTGAAAGCATAACTGCGAGGAAAAACGTTCATGTAGAAGCAATGTCTAACAGAGAAACCGTTGTTCGAAAACCGTCGCTTCAATAATCGATGGCAGAAGCTTGATTGATATGCTGAAGCTGAATAGCTGAATTCCTAATGGAAAAGGTGCTGATTATTACTATGGATTTATGAGCAAATTTCGATAAAGTTAACTGAGTTATTGCTAGAATTAGAAGCTTTGTTGACGACTGCTGATAGAAAATGTATCTATAACTAGTCTTCATCGAGGATTGTGAAGAATGTTTAAATTGATGACAAAAAATTCTTTGGAGTAACAATTCATAATAACAATCATTTTCAATAATTGTCGTTCATTCTGATTATTCACTGAAAATTTAACTTATTTGCCTGCTCTTCCTTGAAATTAAAGCAATTCTTTTGATATGTTGATTCGCTGTTATCTACTTAATGAATCCGGTTTGTTCCATTTGTAATTGACAGTTCAAACCGTTTTTGAATGTATTGTGTCGATATGTTGCTTGGTATGATTCTTGCAATCGCTATTTATCGGTCATTGTGGAGAATATCTGAATTTTGCTTTTATTTCAATCGAACACATTCAGCAAAGGTGATTCTGAATTATCCAACAATGACAACCTACGAGCATTTCCTTACACTTGGCAAAAACGAAAAACGGCACTGTACTATTTTACGATGAAAATGGAATCCTGATAATTTTTGCGTAGTTATCGTCGTAAACTTTTGTTGATATACGACTCTATATATCTTTGTATTGTGTGTCTCTCTTAAAGACTAATGATGATTTTTCACTGTTATAAGTTTTTGGATTGTACAGTAAAGTAGCTGATCGAAACAACGGAATGATTTTCTCCATTTCTTCACCTTCGTTTATCCGTGATGAATTATCGCTTAATGCTGAAGCAAGTAAATTTTGAGAATTTTCGTTTCCTAGTTACTAATAGCAAACCAGAAAAACAATAGTGTAAGCAACAAAAAAAATCAGTGACGATTCCACCACAAAGCAGCGATATGGTCATAATTGTTTGATTTACCAATCTCTTTTCGATTCCCTATTCGAGAGCGGCCATGAACTGATGCAGAAGGTATTATCACAAGGCTGTAATATTCCTGTGGACTTCAGCGATCCTCTTTTGCATGTGGAAGTCAGTGTCACGAACTACAAAAGAGTAACTAACCCAATGAATTCATGTGCCTGCTGAAATTTCAAGTGTTCACTAAACAATGGTTTTGTAACAAGTTTACTCAATTGCACGTAATTTGCTGCATCATGGTTCATTTTCACATAAGATTCCTTCGTTCATCAATTGCCTGAATCGATAATGTAATATGAGGAATGATTTGAACGCAATTGAGCATGATTCATATATACGTATCTTCAATGAAACATTTTCTTCATTATCCTTATTCTCAGCAGTGAATTTTGTGAATGTTGATTTTTATTTGTTGCCATGCACATATATATTTTTTATATTTTCATAAATATTTTCAACTTATCTCGAGAAATTCGGAATTTGATGCTTCCCAACGTTCATTTCCTCAATAATAAAGCATAATGCCATTTGTAATTACAATTGTTAA